ATATGTGCGTGTTAAAACACACGAAAGGACTCCAAACGACACTTCACTCTGATTGGGCAGAAAAACACAAAGATTTTCTGGCACCAATCAGATGCCAGAACGACTGCGACCGTTTGGAACTAGTCTTGTAAGACAATGTCCCCAGGGGCTCTTCTGCCCTTAACTTGAAATCGACTCACTGCCCCTGGGTCTCTCCGAGGATGAATATTGATCAAAACGGTGAAAAAGCTCTACAAAGGATAACCATTACTAAATTAATCAGTGATACACATTATGCTCATAAAATCCGATCTCGATACTCTGCTAAACCACATTTTTAAGAAAGGCGGTTGATTTCAAGGGATAAAATGTTTACCGCACATTTTTGGTTGATAATCATTGGAAGTACTTTTGGTTGAAAAACATCAGAAGATGGACAAGCAGAGTATCTTGTCATACGACAACATAAACTGGACAACAAACCACTCTGCTCCAGGATTCTGGCACTCTTAAACATATTCCTCTTTGGTATGGATAGTCATCCCGCTGTCTTGTCCTTGTTCCTTTTCTTGCATTATCTCTATTGAACGCTCCATCTGACCAGTCTGGTGTATTCTTTTTCTCGTATATAAACAACGAATCACCACCACAATTACAACAAACAATGGAATGACAATAGCTGCACCAACTAACGGCGTATACTTCCATTTCAGTGCGTCTGCGGGCAAAAAGCAAAGTGGCTCGAGTTAATAAAAACACAGATACAATATACCACAAGGAAAGTTATGCCAAGTGCAATTCCGACACAAACAATTCTTCTAGAGGTTTAAACTCCTTGTCCGCTCCATTTTTGGATTGCCTTTGGACTGTGATTTGTAGCAGATGGCAGAAAAATGGACATGATTTGAGAGCAGATGTTACACTTCAAATACTAGAAGCAGCCAAATGCTTTCTTGCTTTGCTTGCTTTCTTAGAGCACACTGGGGTTCTAGGCTCTCTCTTTCATTGTACTGATAACTTTCTACTCGCTTACAAGCTGCACTCCTTATCTCAAAGAGAAAAGAGGCATTCGCTTTAAGTAGTAAAGGAGGTAACAAGTACAGGAACTTTAATACAATGATCAAATTCTATCATGCAAGGAAAGGAAGGCTTAGCATTGAAATACAAGGAGTCTCTTCTCGCCTGCGTGGCAGGTAGATAATAAGCGGGTAAGAAACATGCAGAGCATGACATTTCACTAGAGCGTGCAACTCTAAATCACTTTTGCCCACGTTAAAATTGAGCATCTGCTACGCTAGCTACGTTATCTTGCAGCCAACCTGGCCAGATATTCGTTCAACCTTGTCTTCAATTCTCCTTTCTTTTTAATGTATAGGGCTTTTTCTCTCTTATCCTTTTACTCTCACTCTCCCTTCTTGCTTTTACATTTCAAACATATTCCACATTTCTAAAAGAATGAAAATCTCCGCCATGTTTTATATTTGATGATTACCTTTGCACTACACACACACAGAAATACGACTGAGATTGCATTCACTCACCGAATCTTGATGTTGGTAATTTCTCTACTGTTGTCACTGCTGGATGTGCTGTTGAATGCACCTTTGGGCGGTCTGAGATGGGCGTGGTGGTACCATACAAAATCAAGGACCAGCTATGAAGAGTGCCTAGAATGACACAAGACCCTCAAAGATTGAGTTTTGACTTAATCACCTCAGTAACCGTGAAACTTCGAATTACACGTAATGTTGATTCAAGATTAAGGCATCTGCTATTCATATATATACATCAAGGCGCACTGAAAACGCCCTCAGTTTTAATCAGGCCGCTGATGTGACAGGGGAAGAATTAGATGACACATTTGGGTTGTGTAACTTGGTAGTGACCTTAAATGAACGACAAAACTCCTTCGTTTGAATATTCTCAATATGTTCTTGAGCAATACTTCATTACGGTTTTTAATAGCTGAGTCAGTTCTTTGACAATAAAAAACACTTCTAATACAAATTAATAAACAAGTAGATAAATTCATAAATATACAGAAAAATTCAAAGCGTTAGTGCTACTTCAAATTCAATTTATTTTGATACGTTAGTACAGTTTTCTAACGTGACCTCATTCTAGGCAACCAGACCGCCAAACCAATCAAAACAAGCGTAATCACTTCCTTGGATACTCATATTAAGAATTTTTTCATTTGCCTTCGTTCTCATGCACTTGGAAACTATAAGACCAGCTGAACGAACGTCAGATAAAAGTTAAAAGCCAACAGTTAGTTACCAGAGGTTGGGGTTTCCTTGTCAAAATCTTCAACACTGAGTTCCCACTTTCCCTCAGGACTCTCTCCCCAGTGAAACAAGGTAGTTATATGCCAGTTTGTAAGGTTTTTGAATGGAGTGAGGTTGTCGATGGGGCGATGTCCAGTCATTGGAGACGTTGTCCCACTTGGCGCTTTAAGTCGCAGAGATAAGTCTCCTCGATGCGTAAAATAAAGATCCACCCTGATTTGCACGTGTTCCAAGAACTTTATGGGGCAACCCTTAAACGCTACTGAAACACTTCCTGGGATAGCTCTGAAATTAACATGTAGTCCACCTTTAATAATCACAACACCTTTCAATTGTTATCGAAATATGAAATTATTACGCATTTACTCTCACATCAAATAAATACATAGCAGATTGATCTTATAGGTGGTTCATTAAATGAAACCTGTAAAAAGAAAGAGTATCACTTGACCAGTTGTTTCTTAGAGCGCAGAATACATGAACAAGTTGTAGTTCAAGTCTTGGTTTTCTAGCGTAGAGATGTCGTTGTTGTGTGTTTGTTTCAACATTTCCGATCTTTAAATCAAGTATTCATATACATCCCGGAGACACTGCGGCAATAACTGATCAGCTTACATTGCTCTATCGTCGCCTTTAATCTCACACTTTATCTGCGAGGGGACACTCTTCCAATTCTTTGCTAGGCTCACCATCTTTGCCACATCCATGAGCCCAAAGCCGTAATACTTGCTGACATAAAAACCAGCTCCGTTTTTCACCCACTTTCCGTACTGGCCATGCGAAAGTGGCTTTCCACCTGGCGCTCGTCTTGCACTGTTAACTATTATGTGTTGTACATCACGCCATGATAAGTCAGGACTGTGAAAAATAAAACATGAAGAAATCAAGGAAGGTTTGTGGACCAAACGATGCAATAGACACTGGAAGGGCCGGCTTCAATATGTATGGTCGGCAAAATTTTGCTTAACTCAATTTGACATTTAGCACGTGTACGATGACGATGACCTTTATCTACCTAGATTTTCTCTATCGTCTCCGGCTAACTCAGATAAGTCACTCTTAAATGCTTTTTCACCCACCTACAACGCTCGCAATTAAGTCAACGATTCAAGCACTTCACAGAATCCAAAAGGGCGGAAAACATAAAGGTTTTACAATTTATTTCACCGTATTTTGCGACATAGACATTAGAATGGCCTACTACCTTGAGGATTTATTTGGTCCTATACTGTCTACTTCGTTCATTATGGGGGATGTATTTGCTTAAGAGGAGATCAGCCCAGATCGAGAGAGGTCTCTGGACAGTAGTACAAAATAAAATTATCGCAAAGGTATATCAGACTTACTTTGCTTGTAGAGTCAGTGCAATTAAGCCTGAGGCCATAGCCGCTGCCGCCGAGGTTGCTCCAAAGTCTTGCACACATCCTCTCTTATTATCAATGCTTATCTACACGTTAAAGAAGAAATGAAGTCATACTCAGGCTTCTATAATTAAAATAAGATCCAAACCCGTTTGACCTGTCATACCTTTCAGGAACCAGCCATTGGATTCGACATCATATTCCAGGCACTAAATTGTTGCAATAGACTCTTACTACTTAACTTAGCTCTGGTAGATGCTGCCATACAGTGTTTCTTAATATTTGACTGCAAGCTGTGCTGTTTGTTTGATGTTAAGTGGAAACAACATCACATTTCACTCACTATTTTTCCCAGTGGTTTAAATTTGTCAAAGCTGTAAGCAGTAGCCATGATCGCTGGACATTCCTCTGAAAACCTTGGAAGGGTGCCATCTTTATTCACACCGCCTATGGCAATGGTATAGATACTATTAACATAACCGCTGTATGCACAGCTATCTCCCGTCATGCCACCATTTCCAGCTGCAAAAGTATAGATGGCGCCTAGTTGACCACGACCCTGCAATAAAACAACACTTACATGATACATGATCCACTCAACGATGCATCAAATGCAGAAACCTATGTATAAAAAGAGGCAAACCAAATCAGTGAAGAGTTCAAATTCAGATGTTTCTTACTTTGTTGAAATTCCTGTCTGACATCTCATCTCAGCAACTCAATGAGTGCTAAGTATTTCATATTTTAATTCGTATTTTAATCTACTCATGTCTGTTGGACTGAACGCGTGCCATAGCCTCATCATTATTGGTACCTTTTCTATGCCGCGTTTCAGAGCTTCACTGGCCAGTTTCCCAGGACCCTCCACTCTCCAAGCAGTGTCACCAGGCCCCCAGCTGTTAGAGTATATGTGGACACTTTCTATTTTGTGCAATAAGGCCTGTGCTTCCATTGCATCAGTTGCCCATACGTTATGAGGATTATCAAATAGGCGAACGCCTAAAGCAAAATAAAACGGAATGATTAAAACTCTCCCCGACAAAAACCCAAAAAGAGCTCTAGTAAGTGTGAGTCACCATATGAGCAACTTTCCCATTAAAAAGGGCACCACGTCTATACCTAACTTACGATCAGGTGGTCGTCCCTTTTCTGCGCAAAAGCAGCAGCCCAGCCGTTGGCAATGGTCAGTTTGCTCGGCAGACCGCGTTCATTGTCACTTTAGGCGCTGGATAAAGACAATTCTTGATCCCATGTTGCCCAACATTCAGCAACTGCGAAAAATATCATTATTTACTTTTCCTTCAGAGACCTGCAACTTGATGCACAGTCCAGCACCATTCACACACTTTTTACTATGGGCTGGTTGACAGTTGCAAATAAATCTTGTTCTATTAACGATTGATTCTTTGGTTATCAGATGGATAACGTTTACCTCACTGGCACCCTTATTTAAGCTTACTATTCAAATACGTTGATGCACAGGTCCTCTAAATTACATCCACAGCGAAACGACTAAGACTTCTTCCTAAGAACACTTCCTGTGTCATGTATTCACGAATGGGTCGACTGCGTACCATTACACATTGATGGGTAACTTGGTTGTCACCACTTGCTATTATCGAGACCTTCTTGACTTCCGTAATTAATTGATGGTCTATCGGTTCTCAACAAGCTATACATGTAACAGGATTAAACAAAATATAATGTACGAAGCAACAATTCCTAACTACCCACATCTACATGTACGTGTGAACCACATCACCTGCAATTTTCGCATCGTATGCCAACCCCACGCCACAAACGCCATTGTTAGCTGCACCAGCTATAACACCAGCACATTTATTGCCATGACTAGGAAAAAATCATCAACAACTTGTTAAAACTAATATTAGCAGTGTTCCGTCCTCGTACAAGTAAGCTCCTTAAAACTGCCCTCTGAATGACACGGACTCTTCTGCCATTACCAAACATCACCTATGAACTTTAGTGTATAAATACTTCGCTAATTTGCACCTTTTCTGTTTCGGTTTTTTCTTTATTATTTTTGTGCTAAAAAATGATTGAGTTTCACCATTGAGTTTACGGGATGTTGAGAGAACACGAGGAGAGCTTATATATAAATCGCGAGCCGAAGGCGTATGGTTTGTAAGCTTTTCGAGTGTTTTCCCAACATTCCAAGTGGCTTTTTCACGTTATGATCGACGCACGGAGAAATGTGTTCCGTTGTTTTTGTGATATAACTAGTTACATGTCGGCTCCATAACCTGATACAGCAGTTCCGCTTGGAAACTGAATTGACTAATGACACGATGCGTACTTAATGTTCCTTCTGTTATTCATAATTAATCTATACATAAAGCAGAGAAAAAACAACCTGGGTAATTTGAGTAAGGTGAAGCATTACATAATTCCTCTGTTAAATTTTCAATTGAAATATTGAAAGATTATTAGCATTTGACCAATTTACTTCAACCCCTTAACATCACTTACCCTGACACTGGTCTCCCAACAGGAACAGGTTTAGTATCATTATCCACATAATCAAAACTCATTGCATCATCCTAAAGATAATTTTCTGAAGTTATAAACTTATAGTGTCTCAATGTTTCAATCTTTTGCTAATACACCTCGTAAGTCTGCATGACAATGACACTTTTACAAAGTAAGGTACATGACTGTAAAAAAATTCAAGTTTGAAATTTAATAATAATATTGTAAGAGATATACAACTTTTTGAGAGACATGTTTCGACATGCTTATGCCATCTTCAATCAATGAGTAACTGAATGTGAATAATTATATAACATACAGGTAGATGAATAAAATAATTACAGTTTGTTGTAATACAAAAGCGGGTATTAATTACAACGTGACACCAAACATCAAAGGTGTGAACTAAAACGCTAGAAAAGTGTTATAATGCTGGAATTGTTTGCTAAGTTTAGGTTTGATGTTATTTCGATAAAAGGCTTCTTTGAGTTTTAAACACGAAGGCGCGCTATAAAAGAAGAGGTACCTTAGGTGCCTCTGGGGTAACAATGGTGAAAGGAACAAATGCTGGTAGACGAACAAAAGGAGCTAATGAGATATCTCTTGTTTACTTCCACCAGCATGGTGGCAATGATGTAACGTGCGAACCACCTACTTCGATCTCGAATTTAACGCCACAAATAAAGACAGTTTCCTTTGGAGAAAGGAAATACAAATCTAATATATTCTTGTATTGTGATGAAGACATAAAACAATTTTGAGGAATGCGCCCGCTGTTCACTGCTTTGGATTAGCTATAGCTCAAGCTGACTTGACTCTTAGAGTTCTACCACAGGAAGCCCAGACAAGCGACGAGTCTGCTTGTTTTTATTCGAAATATAAAGGAATGTATCCAGTGGGAGAATATTGAAGAGTCTTATTATCGTAAACTTATATCATGAAATGTCTGAGTTAAAGCTCAAAATGTAAACCTACCTCACTTGCTGTGTATTGTCGTTTCTGTGGCTCTAAATGGCGAATTTGAGCGATTGGTGGGTTTTGCGTCGACTGGTCCTATACGTTATAAGAAGGAGACAAGCTTGTCGACGCAAAACCCACCAAATCGCTCAAATTCGCCATTTAGAGCCACGGAAATGACAATACACAGCAAGTGAGGTAGGTTTACAGTTATTTCGAGCTTTAACTCAGACATTTCATGATATAAGTTTACGATAATAAGACCAATATTCTCCCATACATTCCTTTATATTTCGACTAAACAGCCAGACTCGTCGCTTGTCTGGGCTCCCTATGGTTCTACATCACACGACGATTGATTGACAAATGGTCCCGAGGAACCTAAGGCACCTCTCCTTTTATAGCGCGTCTTCGTGTTTAAATCAATTGAGTTGTTAGCAGGATCCAGAATACTAAAGCAAGAAAGGGAGTATTTGTTCTTACAAGAACAGTTAGCGCTAAAAGCAGTTGAACACCAAAATAGCGCTAACTCGCCGAAAACGCTTCAAAATGGTCTGAGACGCTGGTAATCAACAAAGAATAAAAAAAAACAAGGCAATAAGGTAAGTCCATTTTATATCAAAACAAGACATTTTCTCTCTCTTTTAAGGCAAACCGATAACATCCCATACAAACCTTTATGACTACAAAACGTTGCGCAACACTGTAAGAGTCACGTCCGCTTTTCTAGCAGTGAGCTTGGGCTGCCTGTGGCCGAAGAGACATCGATCGGACCCACAAATTTCCCTCTGAACGGAGATTCTTTCTCGTGAAAAGCTGCATTTGCTCATTTATTTTGTCCTGTTTTCGACAACCTCATGAATGTTTTACCGGACTATCAAAGGTATTCTGGGTAGTTGTGAGTCATTATGTTTGCTATTCAGTACGCTTTTCAATTTTGAAAAAATTTTAAAAGTTAAGTTCTTGATATTTTTTTCTTGAGGGGTTTCTTTTGTTGTGGGATCGTTATGGGTCGTTTTGAGATCGTTCTCGGTCGTTTGAAGATCGTTGTGGGTCGTTCCGGGTTTTAGTAATTACGAATTACATCCCGCACAAGAAAATTGATAAACTACTGTGGATTTTAGAGCATCAGGAGTACGATCTTTAACACTGAACATGTTTTTCATTTTAAAAGGAGTGAAAACTAGTTTGATATGTAGGTACGATTTGCAAAAGCGCTTAGTGAGTTGTCGGAGTTTGAGGTTTGCTATTTTAGAATAATAGCTGACAAAAGAGAGTTTAAAGTAACGTGTATTAAGATTAAGTAAGATAGTTGAATTCAAAGATTTTCATTTTAA